GGTATGATGGACAGGGCATGGGGCGGGTAGCAGCCGCGTGGGTGGCCCCGGAAGGTCTCCGCTAGCTATTGAGTTGGGGGAATGTGCAGGCGCCGGCCCACAGATGCGATGAGGGAGGCTGGGGTCTCTGGCCGGGTTGAGACTTAAGATCCGCTGGGCCTGGCACTTGCGGCTCCCAGGGTCCGGAGGCGCCGGGTCTCAGCTTCGTGTGGACTTAAGATTACTTGCGGATAGTGTGAAGGCGTGGAAGAGCGACTTAGGTCGCGGACTCGGGCACCTAGGGCGCCCTTCGGGCCTCTCCCCCCAGCCTTCTCTGCCTCTGGGCCTGGCACTTGCGGCTCCCAGGGTCCGGAGGCGCCGGGTCTCAGCTTCGTGTGGACTTAAGATTACTTGTGGATAGTGTGAAGGCGTGGAAGAGCGACTTAGGTCGCGGACTCGGGCACCTAGGGCGCCCTTCGGGCCTCTCCCCCAGCCTTCTCTGCCTCTGGGTTCCGGAGAAGTCACCCCCGCCCCGCCCCTTCCCGTTCACCGCCTCCTGTGGGCTAGCAGCGCCCGTTTGTGCCGGCTGGTGAGTGTGGCGAGTGGGGGGGGGGCTTAAAAGATGAATGAAAGAGTGAATGGGTGACCAGTGGCTTTATTCAACTCCGAACTCTGGGACCCTCACTCACACTGCTGGGTTCTGAGATTCATTCAAACATTCAGGCGCCCACGAGGGGCTTATTGAATCCCAATTGGGTGCCTGGCTGAGTGTGTCTAGAACTGGAGCAGTCTCCTGGAAGAGACTGGAAAAGGAAACAGACGATTAGTGCTGAATGCAGTAAGGAGAGGGCTGTGTTGGGGGAAGTCAGGAAGGGGTTCTGGAGGTGATACCTGAGCTGTCTTCAAGGATGACTAAGAGTCAGTGAGGTGGTGAGGCAGAGTGTACTGGGCCAAGGAAGCTGCAGGTGCAAAGGCACAGCTTAGAAAGCCACGTGTGGCTGATGGCTGGCAAGGCAACAGCAGCTCCTCCTGGCTGTGTGAAGTAGTAGGGGAGGCAGAGAGGGAAGGGACTGCAGTCACACAGGAATGCAGGAACAGTAGGGTAAACTAAGGACAGTGGTGACCTCAGGAATTCATATGCTGGGACTTGAAGTTGGTGTGAAGAACAGGCTTGGCACGTGGTGGGGTGCCCTATAAACCTTCACTCCATTAATATGAGATGTTAATTGTCAGGTGTGCATTTATAAATAGCACAGGCTACTATGAGAAAATGGATTGGTGAGAGGAAGGCAGGGAGATCAGTTAAGAAGCTGCTATCTTGGTCCAGAACAGAAGCAGTCATAGAGGAGCAGAATGAAGTTTTAGCAGAATGTAACTAATGCAAGGAAGAGTGAGAGAGGAGACCAAGGGTTTAATACCAGGTCCTGATGATCAGCACTCTGTTAGGGGCAAGGTGCTCTGTTTACTTTGGCTGGACCCCCAGGCAGAGATATCTGGCAGGACAAATACCTGGTTCTGGAGCTACATTGTCCTTGGAGCAATCAGAGTAGATCCCTAATGTCCTTATCTTCTTCTTCCTATTTCCTCTCACAACAGTTTCCTGAAGCCTGGAACAGTCCTTGGTGGAGCAGCCTAGGCCTAGATTGAAGATTTATATTTATATATCTAAATTTATTTATATTTATATATCTAAATTTAGTGCCTTCTCTGTGCCCAGCACCAAGCTGCCAGTGAGACAGGCTGTAGTTGTCTTTCCACTACCCCAAGAGGCCATAAGGCTGCCTCAATGGATATAAGTTTGGGACTCCTCAAAGCAGTCCCTCCAGACTGCATGGCCCCGAGTGGACAGGGGGAACATTTGCAGCTGCCCACTCTCCCCCATTTCCACCGAGGTCAGGCTTGGAGGTACCTGGCCCACACTAGCTAAAGTGTATTTGTTGACCTAGGTCTCCTGTTGGCTCTATCCCCTGTGATGACAAACACCTCCCCAGGAGGGAGGAGATCCAGCGATGCCTTTGAAAAATAAGTCCTGGGACACTCAGACCACAGGTGCACCCCAGCCTGCTGCCAGCCCATAGGCCCAGAGCCATGCTTTGGGG